GTAACTGGCTCATTGGTGATTTAGTACAAGTCTAGCCCTCTATTTGTAAAAACAATCAAATAAATAATCTCACAATGGGCATGACATGGCATGCCTGTCGGCAATGGGTTAAATCTTGTCCTTAGATAAAAAAGTGTCATTTTAAATCTTTCTTATCTCTTCAAACCTTCCAGGACATGTAATACAGGACCATAAAATACATGGACAGGTTCATGCACTCTCATTTTTCCTTTTGTTTGATGGCTTTCAAGAGACTATAGAACAAGTAATTGCTCCCCTGGTGAATAAGTCCTTTTGGAGTTATGTGTGTAAACAGAGTTAGTAAAACAAAATCATAGTGAATAGTGCGTAAATGCATGCATATCATTATAGAATATTTCTCTGGTTAAGGGGACAGTACCAGAAAACTTGCAAAAGTCTTTGATTAAACACACCTAAAAAGATAAGCATGGTTTCTTTTGTAGTGGAGAAAAATGAAATATTTTTTAGCTATGATTATTGTAATTAACTCTCTAGGGGGTAGTGCCCTCCTCCAAAAAACAACTTTTGATAAATATTCCAGTAGGCCTAGGGGCAGCACCACAGCCTACAATATTAGTCTGATTTTAATACTATTTTGTTTGAAAGTACTATTTATTACCTCAGAACTGTTGGTCTCTGATATTGGAATTTCCATTTTACATTGGTGTAAAATTGCAAGTGATTAAAGCAAGAATAAAAGTATAGGGATCCCCCTCCCCCTTCTTCTCCCTTTAGAAAAAGGAGATAGAATGACAGTCAAACTTTTTGCGTGATATAGTTGAGAGGGCCAAACTTAGCTTCTAGCTTCTAAGCAGTTGCAAAAGTTGGCATCTACAAGTGTGAGATTCCCCTGATCTGCATCATGTGATTTAACAGTTGTAGAAATGCAAATAATGCAACTCCTACAAAAAAAAATTGCAGTTTCATTATTTCCACTACAGGTCACAATTTTTTTTTTTTTTTTTTTTTTTTTTTTTTTTTTTTTTTTCCAGATTTGTTCATGTCGGCTATCAGAGCAAACTTTGGTCATATTCTAGCTAATATCTATTGATAATGTTGTATTAGTATATCTTCAAAATCCCTGAAGACATGAGATCAGTAATTGTAGCTTGCAATTTGAAATCTTCATTTCTGATAATCCTTTATTACTGAAAAAAAGTTGTTAAACAATTTTATAGTAGTGTAAGGTTTATGTTCAAATTAGACTACCACATGACTGGCCACACACACAGATAGCAAAAAATGTGGCAGATAAAGATTCATGCCTGAAGTGAAATGAGATCTAATAAATTAATAATAAATAGATTGTCTGTATAATGATTTGATATATTGTGCTGCCAGAATATATAGAGTTACACATTTAGGTGAGGAAATGTTAAATCAAATTAACGTACAAATTGTTCTTCCTAACCAGTATTTAAGTAAAGGTGACCTGGAGGATGACTCAATTCAGTGGTGAACCATAATGTATGGCCAGATAATTGTTTCCGACCAAGTTCTAGAGATTCTTAGTACAGAATTCCTGAATGTAAAAGTTTATTGTAAGAAATTAAGTAAAAAAAAAATAATAATAATAATCATCATCAAGTTATGGCAACCAGATTCCATAACCCTCCCCAATGTTCTGGAAATGTTTGTAGTTTCCTATGTATATGTAGCTTAAGTCTGGATTTTTCTATTTTCTTTATTAATTTGTATTGTTAGCCCATTCAGCACAGATGACATCCATTCTTGCTATGATAACTGAGCAGCATTAATGAATGACTGTTAAAGCTGTGTATACATTCCGCCCCTTCTTCTACCCCACACTCGCCTCCACCTACCTGTGCCTCTACTCCTCAGACACCAGTCTCCTCTTACCCCCTCACAAGAAAACCTTTGTCTCACAAAACTCCCTAATCAACTCCTTTATAGAAACTCTTTAAGATATTCAAAACTATCTACTAGAGTCCCAAACTAACACCAAAACTTGCACTCCCTCCACACTCAAAGTGGCTGCCAATATCTATCATCCTCCTACTCATATTCCCCTATACCCCTCCTACTCCCTCCCAACACAGCCCATCCCCCCCCAGCTCCACCTACATTAACCCTTCCGCCATCCCCTCTATCCCTTCCAATCCCTCCTGGAAACACAGGTAAATCCCTTTTCTCATAACTATTCCCTTCCCCAGATCCTCCTCCTCCTGAGACCCCTCCTGAGACCCCTCCTGATACAACACTGCCTCCCCCCTCTCATTCCTTATCTCACTCCCTAGCTCCTTCCCCTTCAAATTCTCCAACATGCACTATAACCATCATCACTCATAGATCAGCTACAGTAGAGCTCTCCTACATTGGAGTATTTGTGGTTTCTCACAGGCCTGACCTTCGTCACATCCTTTCTTCTTATAACCATCCATTATCTGGTTTCAAGAGACTTTTATCACAAACTTTCTGCTTTGACAACCTGTTCTCCTTCCTCAGAAGCATACATATCCTTCTCTTGATCTAACCCCTTTATCAAACACGACCTTAACCCATCCACTCATCAACTCCTTTGCCCAGCTTTAACCTTTTCAATATTAATCTAGATAGCTGACCTATAGCATCTAACCACAAACAGCCCTTCAGTACCCTTTACTATACCTTACTATAGTGCTACATAACCTTAGATGTCTAGCACATTTATTTTGCTCTTAACCATTAATGCTGAGTAAAATTTATTTCCTTTTCCACAACTATTTTTATGCACTATAACTATAAAAGCCTATATACAATGGCAGTATGTGTGTTAAAGACCTGAATAGGCTGTAATTGATGTTTTGCCAGCCAGCAGCAATTATGTGCTTGACATTGTGTAAAATGCAAATAAACAAGCTTCATATTAGCAGATGGTTCTTTTTCTAATGATAATCGTAAGTGCATGTACATGTGCATTACTAATGGTAATTAGAATTAAAAGATCTTGCAAAGAAGTGATATCTTTGGGAAAAATATATATTTTCATGATAATATAAAATTATGACGTGTTAATTGACTTGGTACTAAGAAATAGTAATAAATTTTGTAACATTTTTCTAACTGATTTATATTGGCATTAATCCATTTTATATTCTTAAAAAAATAAATTGTAGCTTGCTTTCTGGTGTTTGCATTCAACTACCTTTTAAGCATTTACTAAGGGGAAGTTACTGAAAATACCATACATTACACAATGTCCCATTTCTTTCAGACAAATAGAAGAAAGTGATTAGAATAAAGACAAATACCTAAAATTTAATTACTTTTTTATACAAAAAACAAAGTTAATGGAGGATGTAACAAATAGGTTAATCTTGAAATAATTTTATTAATAAGCTACCTAACCACAATGGGTTCTGTACAAGCTAGCAACAGCAGGTGCAAAAAGTAGCATCAGCAAAGGCTCACATAAAGAGTGTCACTCCACTGTTTTTCAGCTGGTATTTTTATTCATTTATTTATTTATTTTATTTATTTTTTTTTTCAAAATAGGTGCCAACACAGTATGGGCATCCTCATATGTTTTTTGCAATGAGGTAAAATAAAGATATTTATCCTGATCTTTTAATACCTCAACTACCAAAAATTTTACAGATACTTTTCAAAATCCTAAACCTTTCCAATAATTGCAAAAAAAAGTTCCCTTTTATCCAATCAAATACTTTTGGGTACAAAATTGTGGATGGCCTAGCAAATGATCTGTGGCTGAATTACCCGAAGACTCAATGACGTGAATGAGCAAAACGAAAAATGCTAGTAACTGGAACATCTAAAAAACACCAGGAACAAATAAAATTCTAAATCTGTAAAACACACAATAAAGTATCTATTTTGATGAATGTGTTAATCTCTACAATACTCATAACCTGGTTATATGTAAATGTTCCAAAAGTATAAAATGACACACAGAAAAGGAATTAAAAAACAATACAAAACAAACAAAAAGAGATGAAAAAAAAAAAATCAAACAAGATTCAACTACTTCATTCCATGAAAATACGAACAAGTTAAAAAAGAACTAATAAAACATTCTAACACCACAATCTGATCTTCATATTACTTTGCACTGCTCTACTATAAAGCCTTAGCACTGAGGGATATTTTTTTGTTTGTTATAAATATTACATAATGTACCTGAAAATAATGGTAATAGAGAATGGTATCCAGGCTTTCAAATGTTAATGTCCATATGTGTACCACTTTGAAAATAATAAGATATAATAAGATATAATAAAAAATATTCACCTCTAATTTCAAATTGCAAAATAACCCTTAATTACGATAGAAATAACTTACACTCATCACTAATATAACCAAGGGTACTGAACACCCAAATGCCAGTTCAGCAGATTTTAAGAGTTCAAGAAACTGTCTGTACAGCTCTCTTATACTAGTTAACACAATACAGAAATGCTATACATTCATCTTTATTTCATTCATTAGTTACACAATACTGAAACTCACAAACTTCTCTTTAACATTACACTTCAAGAAAAAAGTATAAAAAGGATAAAAATCACTATTAATATTGAAAGTAGGGACAGATGCTTTGTGTATACCTTAGTCATCCATGAATTACATTTGCATGCATCTCTGCTTGTTTCCACCCCCCCCCCTCTTAATCATTTTGTCTTTCATATTTATGTCTCAAGCTTTTAAAAATGTAAGTCCTACCTCATTCTTGTGTGAGAACATTAAACTGAGCTGAACATTTTACACTGAAGAGGGCTGAAACAATTTACAACCAAGTGTTTGTAAAAATTTAAGTATCCTCCACTGAGGACTATTACAATGCTTGGCAACATCCAAGCAATTTTCATGAAAATGTAAGTAACAATTCCAGCTGGCAATGTTCAGCTTGTATCAAAGCTGATATTAATGTGAGCTTCTTTCACCATAAAGAAATCAATCAGAAATTTGTTTTCAGCTAAACAATGACACTGAATATCAGTATCAATTTAGATGCAACTATGTTACTGGATATCAATTCACCGTGGTAGGTGGCACATCTCACAGTTTTCACTAGCTGTTTGATTGATAAATGTGCAGTGTTGGCAAGTCCAAGAGGTAGAGGAAGATGATGACTGAGCACTAGAACCTGCAGCTGCAGCTTCTCCACCAGCCCCTAGCACCGACGCTCCACCACCTGATGCCATCACCAACTGTTCCACAGTTGCCCAATGTTCAGACTGCTTCCATTCCAGTGCTTGTACTCGATCACGTTTTTTTACTGCTTCCAGTAATGGGCCTATATATTCCTGAAAGCATTTAGAAAATGATCTTGGTGAGAGATGCTAAATAACCAATAAATATATCATGCACCACTAAAAAAATTGAAAGAAAGCCTAGAGCTTTGGTTTGACATGAGTGTAATAAACATAAAGAACTTACTCTGAGCGGTAACATGTCCATTGTTGCAATAAATATTAGTACATGGAAGTCAGACACTGCTTCCAAAAACTGGTCATCACTGAACTTTTGTAGATATGAAGCTAATGTGTTGAAATCTTGTAAATGCCCTTCTACTAATCTGGAATAAAGAAAAGTTTTACAATTACACTTTCAAATTCATTCTTTGAAACACAAGATGGTAGGATGTGCAAATCCTTTTAACCCAGTGCCGACGGGTATGACGTGTACATATGTGCCATGCCCACTGTGAGTTACTTGTTTGATTGTTTTTACACACAGATGGCAATACTTGTACTAAATCACCAATGACCCAGTTACGGGTACTGCCTCTCTTGCCCATTCACCCTTTTCTTTGATTTACGAAATATTTTACGTTATCTTATTTTGCTGTTACTAATGTTAAAAAACATTGTAACAATTATAATGTTTACAATAAAAATAACACCATCGATATTCATAGCACTAGTGAAAAATACGTGTTTCCCAGCCATTTCAAATCAAGCACTAACAGAGTCATCTATGGGCGGACATTTCACAAAAGTATAGAAAATAGGCACAGCATTTCCCCCATTTTTTGTTCATTTTCCCCAGCAGCATTGGGTTAAATGCTTGTTTGTTGATACATGAAAAAGGAATTACTAAAACATTGGGTAATGGCTAATGGTTAGAAGAATAAACAAATGTGCAACGCATAAAAGGTCAAATAGCACTATGGTAAAGTATTGTGACGAGAAGGGTGGAAATGAATTAACAATTAGGATAAGATGTTAGATGTCAAAGGTTATGGAATGCTGTAGGATAGAATGGCAGTGAAAAGGGTATAGGGGGGAGCAAATGGAATATGGTGGGGATTTGTAAAAGGAGAAAGGGTTAAAGGTATAGGGTGTGACCATCCAGGTGGGAGTGGTAAGGATAATGGGGAAGAAAGAGTGAATGATGATGCACATGGAGGAAAGGATGGAGTATTTTTTTTGGAGAGTGGGAGGAAGAGGGGTAAGGGAAACTTCAGGAAGAGGACGGATATTGGCCATATTGTTAGAGACCAGAGGGAATCAAAAAGATAATGAGTTAAGAGATACTGATATATGCATAGACATGAATAGACAAAATGACAGTTATTTATGCTAGGTCACAAGAATTACTATTAGAAACCCAAAATTTTCTTGATAAAGCATGCATTCAGTCAGGATGGGTGCATGACTAAGACATAACTTGCTTTCTTCATTCACACATTGTAACTTGTAGATACTGTTTTGTCTTGTCTGTTATTATTTATTATTTAAAATAGGTCAATTAATTAATTAATAGACTGACTGATACATAAAATATAAATGCATATAATTCTACTTATCAACATTTTTTGAAACAGTAGGTAATACATAAGTTTTACATATTATCAGTTCAAGTCCAGTCAGCTTTCTTTTTCCTTCTCAGTTGAATGCCTTTAATTTTCTTTTCTTAACCCAGTGGATCTGGATGACATGACCATTATGTCAAGAAAAAAATTAGCTGATAGCCAGGGTGAAAGGTATGTGTTGTCATGAAAAATTCAGCTGAAGGCCATGGCATGACCCTTGGACTGGTGTACAATTGTAGTAAATGGGTTGCAACTATCACTTGAACTGGTCTGTATCTCTTTATGGAGTGTTTGTTGTGGGTGAGAGTTCTCACTGGTAAGGCAGGCTGCTGAATGTGAAGTGGAGATCTATGGGGGAGCCAGAAGGCTCCCTAGTCAGCTAAAGACTGGGCAGTCCTGAGTTACTGCTGCTTGTTGTGGTTTGCTGGAGGATCGTGGATTGCTGATCTTGGTTAAAGATTCTACAGCTTAAATATACTGAGGTCTGTGTAATTGAACAGGGAATGAGGGGAGCCTGCAGTCCAAGAGAGAGATAGGTGTCTGTGTCAGTGAGTTAAGTCTCTGCAGTGAGTCGAGAGAAGTGCCTGACAAGGCTGTGCAAGGACAAGGCTGTGGACCTGATATGACCCAACCTGGGAGATATGCAGAGCTCCCGGTTGTGGGGGTCATGCTGCCACACCATGGCATATATGCACATGCCACCAAGAACTGAGTCCAGTCATGCCATGCCATATACATACATGCAAACCAGAATCTAGGGTTTAAGACAGGTATGTGAAACAGTCAAACCCTGGCTGACCAGGTTTGATGCTTGAAGGCCACATGTGTATTTGCAAGATACACATATGGTTGTTGAAAAATTTCTACTGCTTCACCCATGGGAATGGTTGAAAAAAAAAAACACCAACCACTCTGCTTGTATGACCAAAACCAAGAGGGTGGCCAATATCAAGGAGGTATTCAAAGACAGAGACAGGATGAGGAGTGCATGTGCCAGATTCTGGAGCAATCTTGAGTCCATGGTGGAAAATGAGTGTGGCTATTTTGAGTAAACTTTTATCTTCCAAGCATAATCTAGTTGATATTTTCTTTCTTTTCAAAATGCTTTTAATTTTTAGCCAAAACATTGTTTTTTTTTTTCTTTTATGCAAATTGTTAAATTTATCCTTAACATTCCTGAAACTTCTGGAACGGTTAACTTTCTATATTTTCCAATAATTCAGACTAAAAATGTAGACTTTAAAGGCACAAAATACACATCAGCAAAATATTATGCAACAGTTTTAAGATAATTGCAGTGCAAAGCTTCAGGACCCATGATATGTGGGAAAGCAACTAACTTGGAATTAACCCATGGACGCCGGGGAAAATGAACAAAAAATGGGGGAAATGCAGTACTCATTTTTTATATTTTTGTGAAATATCTCTGTCCATAGATGGCTCTGCTAGTCCTGATTTCACCTTCCCTTGAATTGGCAGGAAAAAACGTATTCTTACTAGTGCTATAAATATATATGGTTTTATTTTTAACAGCAAATTAGGATAACGTTAAATATTTTCGTAAATCGATGAAAAGGGTGAACGGGCGAGGCAGGCAGTACTCGTAACTGGCTCATTGGATACTTAGTACAAGTGTAGCCATCTATGTGTAAAAACAATCAAACAAGTTGACTCACAGCGGGCATGGCATGTACGTACATGCCATCCCTGGCGGCAATGGGTTAAGAATATGTCAAAAAAAAGCGACCAAAGAGAATGTCAAGGTACTTGAGATCATAACAAGTAGTATTTTACCCTCTAGCCTACTGTGGAGGAGATAAGAAACATATATGAACATACCTGTTGCACATTGTACACATACCTGTTTGCCACTGGGAAATTTGAGGCATTAACTGCAAAACTATACAAAGGTTCATTTGGTGTTGAGACTGGACAGTCAAGCAGTAGGTATTCTACTGGTAATGGTCTTCCTAGGCGGACAACTTCATTATTATACTGATCTTTCTCCTGTAAAAGATGATAAAAAAAAATGTATATAGAACTGTTCCCTTGGACAAACCTTTTATATCATATATGCATATTCTTATTACTTTCTAAAAATGGTAGTTTTAAGATGTGAATATACTCTTAAAAGAAAAGAGTAAATTTATAACTGATACATATTTTCTGTTCTCAACATCCTTTGTATGCAAATACATGCAAATGAATACAAATTCCCATGATACACACGAGTGAAATCCAACAATCTCACCTTAAAGTAAACATCAGGAACATATTGTTCAGACGTAGACTCCCGTATGTAAGCTAGCTCTGGAGCATCTTTGGTGGGGATGAGGCACCTGTCCTTCACCACAGACTGACACTGATTGCTCACCTGGTAGCCCTCCATGTGGACCTGCAAATGCACCAACAATATAGGAACCAAAGCCATCAGCACCTAGTCTTTCCATATGTACATATACTATCGTAATTCCTTTTGATGGGACTGCATCATTTTGAGGATATTGGTTCCATTATAACCTGCTCCATGGGGACCACACACGTTATTGGAACAAATGCAGAGCAACTAGGAGCACCCATGACAATTGGTAATTTGTATTTATATACTCATAAATGGAAGCATTATATCAGAATTATTTTTAAATGCTATTTAAAATGTGTTATACAGCTATTATTTTACAAGACGTAAATCATATAAATTTAGTTTTTAAAACTTGCATTGCACCATTTAAAAAGGTCTGACAATTCATATACATATACATATACATAAAATTTTAAATACATATTACATAAATATCATAC